GGCATGCGAGCGATGCATCATCGGCGCAAAGAGGCCTGCGGCAGCCAAGGCCCGCAGCCTCCGCCCGTCGCAGAGCGGGAGCCACCGGGGAGCCTCGACTCCGTGGCCGCCGGGGCTGAGTGGGAGAACGACCGAGGGACCTTCTCCCCCCACGACCGCTCGGAAGTCCTCTCGGCTCTGAGCCTGGGAAGGAGGCCCGGGCCGTGGCTCGCTCCGCCGATGCTGCCCCCCCCCCCCACGAAAGAGCCCGGTGTCTTCGCCGCTCCGGGGTGGCGGCCAGTGACCCTCCCACCCTATGTCCGCTTCCTTCCTTGTCTCCTATAGAAACACCCCCCAGCATTATAGAGGGGACTCTCCTTCCAGCTGAGCACTCCCCCCCCCAATCCTGGTGCCTTTATAGACCCTCCAGGCACTTGGAGTCATATGTAGTGGAAGGGGCCCCAGAGATCATCCAGCCCTGTCCCCTGCTTGCTGCAAAATCTGCTAAAGTATTTGGGGCCAAAACCACCCAATGCCAGGGGAGGGAGGGCTTCTGGGACCAAGCAGTTGGTTCATGGCTGGTTGTCAACATCAGGAAACATCTCCCATTAAGACCTGCTGGTTCTGCTGCTCCTTCCAGGGCAGAGAGAGTAAATATACTCCCTCCTGTAGGAAAAAAAACTTTCCTTCAGATGTCTGGCTCAGCATTCTGCTGGCTGAGATAACCAGATCTTCTCATTGGTTGGTCCAGATTCTCCAACTTCTCTCCAAGCTCACCCATTCTTTGCCTTGTCTTTGCTCCGTGCTGGCCAAGAACACCAAGTGGGTCTGTCCGGGTAAGAGTCAAGGGAAAATTCTCTTCCATTGAGATGGAATTCGGGTCCTACCAGTGCATCTCAACAAAGCACGCATCCTCCTCTTTAGCAGTGGCATCATATTGCTGGCTCTTGTTTAATATGGGATCCACAAGGCCCTCCAGATCCCTTCCCTGCCCGTTGCCACCACCCCCCTTGATATTTTCCTCCAAGCTTCAATGAAGCTATTTATGACTCTTCTTTGGGTGTGGAAATTCAACAGGTTACAAATCCAATTAACAGTTGCATCCCCTGGTGCTTAAGGTCATTATTTCTTCATTTTCCTAGTACCACCCTTTAAAACAGTGGTTCTCAACCTGTGGGTCGGGACCCCATTTGGGGTCGAACAACCATTTCAAGGAGGGTCGCCAAATAATGCAGTCTGCCATTTTTTCCCCCCTTTTCCTTAGCTGTGCTACTCCCTTTTATTCTATTGGCTTTTGAAAGCCAATAGAATAGACTCTCTTGAATAGAGTCTAATTCTATTGGCTTTCAAATGCCAATAGGAATTGTCCAGGCTGTCTCTGCCCTGCTGAGCCCGCCAAAAGTCCCATTCTGCAAACGGTGCTGCACCAGTTGAGTAGTCCTCGACTTACGACCGGTTGAGTAGTCTTCAACTTACGACCGGTTGAATAGTCCTCGACTTACGACCGGTTGGGGGTCGTGGCATTAAAAAGGTTGAGAACCACTGCTTTAAAGAGCCAAGCAACTCTTCCATTCCCTACACTATTGATGAGCATGTTGGAGCGTTGAGCCCCGGACAGAAGTCCAAAGCACCAGCTTTCTCTCCCTGTGGCTGCAGACCCATTAGGGGCAGGACCAGCAGTGGCCGTGGCTGTTCAACAACTGTGATTCCTCCTGGAGGGCCCAATCAGCCTCCTCCCTGGTAGGTGTCACCCTCTCACCTTCTCCAACTTGCCCAGCACCTGCCAATCCCTTTGGGGTTGGCGTTCCTTGCAGACCTCGACCACCCTGGCCTTCTGTCAGAATCCAATTATATTTCATCTCTAGTTATCAAATATAGAAAACCCCATTTCTGCCTTCTCTGGATTCTGTCATACAAGGAAGGGAAGGGGGTGAACAAAGGGGCTTTATGGCCCTCACTTCTTTCGGTACAACTTCAAAGGGATTGAATGTGGATAGCACCAAAAAGGCCTAATCATAACAAAGGGGGCTATTACCTTTCATGTAGTTTTCTCGGAAGTCTCCATTCAGCCGGCAGTAAGGAAAAGGGGTGGGAATGTAATGCCTGAGACTGTTGCTGGAAGTAGGGGGGGATTGGGTGGGGCTACTGGGAAACCCCTTAAAACCTTGAATGGGAGAGCTTGGACCCCAAGTCCTGTCTAGAACGCCGGCAACCATTTTCTCTTAATAAAGGATTCCTGTTAGAAGAATTATTCCAAGAGTTCTGTCTTCTTAAGATGCAAAGTGGGGTGGGTCCTTACACCTTCTCTGCAGAGTCAGGTGGCAGCCTCTCCTGGTCCTCTGCTTTCATTTGCTGTTGAGTGTTCCTGAGAAGATGCTCCCAGAACGCAGGAGGCAGCCAAAGTGTTTTCTTCTGACAGGTGGGAATGTTGTGCGGTGCTAAGGCCTCTCCAGGCCAGGTGGGAGTCTCCAGTTCATCTGTTGCCCCCTCCATAAGGAAGGCAGCACTTCCCCCCCCCCCTCCTCCTCTCAGAGACTTCCAAGAACATTCTTAAGCTTTGGGTTTCTGACTCAGAGCAAGCCTCAGCTCTGTAACTAGACCAACAACATCAGGTCAGGTGATATTTAAAGCCTTAAAAAAACAACAACCCACAGCCGCATGCTTGGCGCGTTCCTCACCCAGCAGTCAGGCTGCCAAAAGATTTACTCTCCAAATCTAATAATAGTGCCTAACTTCCAACCAGAGGGAAAGCACTAGCACTATTTTAAGGCATTTGGGCCCTCAGGAAAAAAAAAAAGAGCCTCAACTTTGTCAGCTGATTAAAAAGCCACTGGATTTTTTTTTAGAGGAGCACAAAGCAAGTCCTGGCAGGGCATTTAAAGGGACCGGGGCACCCCCGGCTTTTAAAACACAGCCTGACCCTCCTTGCTGCCCAGCTAGGGTTCTCTGGGGTGGTGGTCTCTGCAGAAATAGGGTGGGAGTAACACCTTCTTTGGGCAAAGAGCCAGTCTCTGTAGCCTTAGTGGCTCTGCCGGAATGAGTGGCAAATGGGACAGATGTGTGCAAATGCAAATACACATGCAACTTGAGCTGGCGCAGAGCACTCAACTCCAAAGCGCCTGAAAGCAGGACAAAAAGGAAGGGCTGGAAACTAATCAAGGAGAGAATCAACCTAGAACTAAGCAGACGTTTCCTGGCAGTGAGAACAATTAACCAGTGGAACAACCTGCCTCCAGAAGTTGTGGGTGCTCCATCACTGGAGGCTTTTAAGAAGAGATTGGCAACTATTTCTCCAGAACAGTATAGGGCAGTGGTTCTCAACCTGTGGGTCGGGACCCCATTTGGGGTCGAACGACCATTTCACAGGGGTCGCCAAACAACGCAGTCCGCCATTTTTTCCCCCCTTTTCCTTAGCTGTGCTACTCCCTTTTATTCTATTGGCTTTTGAAAGCCAATAGAATAGACTCTCTGGAATAGAGTCTAATTCTATTGGCTTTCAAAAGCCAATAGGAATTGTCCAGGCTGTCTCTGCCCTGCTGAGCCCACCAAAAGTCCCATTCTGCAAACGGTGCTGCCCCAGTTGAGTAGTCCTCGACTTACGACCAGTTGGTCGCGGCATTAAAAAGGTTGAGAACCACTGGTATAGGGTCTCCTGCTTGAGCGGGGGGGGGGGTTATTGGACTGGAAGACCTCCAAAGTCCCTTCCAACTCTGTTATTCTGTTATTTTGTTATTCTGCTCCAATTCCTGGCTTGTCTTAGTAGAAAAAACCTGACCAGATGTGGTTTATGGAGCAAGCCATGCTTGTCTGAAGTACAGGGTCTGAACCAAATCGTATCTTCCTTTTTCTTCCCTTCGAGAGACAAGCATAGCTGACCTCGGGATCTGTTTGGAGAACCAGAGACGGCTGGCAGATCTGGGGAAGACCCTTTTCCCTAACAAAAAAATGCCAAAAAGTGAGTGGCATCTTCATGTCTGACTTGTTCATTATGGTGTAATCTGGGGATAGCAGTCCCACCCAGTAAGAAAGGGGTCACCCTTAAGTCCTGCCGATCTCTTTATTGTCTTGGGAGGGTCAAACCAACTCTCGGTAGAGCTGTTGCAAGGCAGCACCTCTTTTCTCAAGAGTTCGATGCAGAGTCAAGGAAAAGGAAGGACATGAAGACTAAGAGCTTGACAACCATACCTGGGAAAATCCTAGAACAGCCTATCAAACGGTTGGTCTGCAGGCACCCAGAAAGGAAGAAGGTGAATATGAAAAACCATCCGGGCTTTGTGAAAGTAAACAGACAAATCTAATTGCTTTTGGGGGGGGGCTAAATTAATAAACAAGGGAATGCTTCAGCTGTAGCATACCAGCCCTAGGAGAGGCATCTGGACCACAGCCGCCTCCTTCTTCCCAAACTGGAACGGGAAAGTTTGCACAATGCACCAGGTGAAGTCTGGCTACTTTCCACTCCTCAGAATGCTTAATGGCTTCCACAAGTTCTACCAACCAGGAAAAGGGCTGCTTCAGTCCCCAGGCTAAGATGCTGTCCGTCTCCGAGCTGTTCTCGACTCCCAGGCTGGTGTGAGACTGACACTTTGGGACCCCCCCCCAGTCCCAGCATTGCTCAGGGGCTCCTGCCGTGCGAATGAGTGAGACGGAGCAACAGCTGCAGCTGTTCCCCAAAGCACGAACTCTCCACTGCCCCGTCTGGATGTCTTCAGCCAGCAAAGCTTTAACTGCATGCCGGGTCAGTTTTGCTGCTCCACAAATAGCTGATTTCCCCCCCACCCCATCCCGCCCATGGCTAAGAGTAGCAGAATAAAAATAATTGGGGGGGGGAAACACCCCAAAGGCACTTAAGAGCAACAAATTATGCAGTTCCTCAGAAGCAACTTTTGCCTTTTTAGAGACTCCAGGATCTACTTTGGAATAGAAACATGCAGAGGGTGGTTGGGGTGGGGTTTCATTTTATTTTCAAACACATCAAAAGACGAGAGTGCTTGCAATTATTTGGAGATATGACAAATAAATAATAGAGACTTCCCTTATATTATTTATTTTTTTTTAAAAGCTCAACATTATAAATATATTACCCTCAGCAAGCCTCAATTGCTGTGTGTATAAACATATGGGCGTAAAAAAATTACAACACTGGATTTAGATTTGACTGGCATAATATCCCTTTCGTTCCCTAATCCTGGCTGAGCGTAATTTCCATAACCATCTTATGCAATAATTTTGGATGAAGCAATACTGTTCTTAGAATTAAACAGAAATGCTTGCGGAAGAAAGGTACCTTAGCAGGGGAACATTGTGGGACAAATTTTCTGGCAAGCTTCCATCTCACAGCGTCCCCCCAGGGATGCCCCCCCCCAAAGGAAGGGCACTAGGTAGGGTGCCTGCCCTCCGAGTGGCCTGGGCAGCAGAGCTTTGTGGCCTGGTCAACTAAAAACCACGGGAGGCTGAAGACCTTGGCTGGAAGCGATGGATGCTTGGCCACCCCAGCAGTGGGTGGGGGAGGGAGGGCACTGCAGACGTAGCTTCTTCCAGCAGGCATCTCTGGCCCGGAAGATGAATACATCTGTTCTACCCCACCCCACTCCAGCCAGCCGTCCTGCCTGTCCATCCTTGCTCCATTATAGAAGAAGGGCCAGTCCCCAAGACCACTCACCCACCTCAATTCTGCAGTCAACTTGGAGCCAATGTATTCCTATCGCCTGCATCCCAGAATTTCTTGTGTCAAGGGGGGCTGGCTGGGAGGAGCTCCTTTATCAGCCCCCCCCCCGTTATGGCCCTAAGCCTTCTAGGGTGTAAAGATGCCAGAACCTCGCAAGAGTGACCTGCTGGTTGCCAACAGCATTTCCGGCCTCCAGTTTGACCCAATTTTGAGGCCCCGAAGTTCAAGCCACCAACTCTGGCCCCACAGCCCAGATGCGCCATGGGTCACAGCATGTGTAGGACCAGCAGGACAGACCATCCAGAAGGCCCAGCATCTCCTGCAGACTAGGTGAGCAAATCTCAAGGGGCAGCCTCCGGGCCGGTGACAGGTGCCTCTCTTTCTCCCTCCCCCTCCCCTGCCCCAAGGCTCTTTAGCAAGTGGAAAGTAGCACATCCAGCCCAAGAGTCGGGGGAAAAAGGGGTGTCCCAAGGTTCCTTCCCCACTTGACCAGCAGGTGATGCATCCAGAACAGTTGCGGGGCCCCTCCAAGCTTGTTCTGGGCTTCCATCTTCCTGAGCCAGGAGCCCCCAGGCCTTTGCTGGACCTGAACCCCCTCCTCCGCTTGGGTCCAGACTCTCCGCCAGGTGGCGTCTTTCTTCAGACAGCGTGCGCAACGCTACCCCCGCCATTCTCCTGGGCTGGAGAGGGGGGGGGAGAGCTCCCCACCACCCCGGCCTTCCGGGGGGGTCTCTACCCAGGCAGGGCTCCTTTCCCGCCCCCCTCCTCTCCGCGTGAAGCATTCAGAAGCAGCGACGGATCAGCCGGGGATGAGCGTGTGCCGAGGTCGAATCCTGGGAACTGCGAAGGGGTCTGTCGCCCTGAGCTTGCTAGAAGCCCCCTCGCCAGCCTGGCCCTTGTGGGAGAGCAGCTTCCCCCTCCCCCTGCCTGCTCTTTCTGCCGGGTCTCGGGGAGGGGGCCGCGTCTGGTCTGAACTGCCTCCTGCCCCCGTTCGCTGTCGGTAGCGCTCCGCGCCGGCAAAGTCTCATCTCCGCAGGCAAAAGCAAGGGTCCCTCCGGCCCCACCCACCCCCAGCCGGTCTAAGGTCGCCCGCCGGAGGGGCTAGGAAGCGCCCGCCATTGTCTTCTCCAAGCGCGCCCGGTACTTCTGGGCGTAGGGCGATGAAGAGATCAAGCCGGCCTGGGGGGGCTTGAGGCGCATGTTCCGCCCGGAGGTGATGAGGTCGCCGAAGCCCTGCTGGTGCGAGAAGGCGTAGCCGGAGCGGCGGGAGGCGCTGCGCTGCAGGTAGTGCTTCAGGGCGGGCGGGCCGGGCGCTTTGCGGAGCTGCTTCACTTTGCGCACCACCTAAGGCAGAGAAGAGTCCAGCTGAGACGCCGGGGGGGGGGTGGCTGGGGGGGGGTGGGAGGAGGGCTATTTGGGAGGATACACACACTTAACTCCCCCGCACATTTGGGTCTCTTTTGAACCTCTCTCACACACACCGCCAAGCTTCTGAGTGGAGCCCAGTTGATGGAGGCACAGTGGGTGGCACCCCCCCCCAATTGTGTCACCTGCCCTATGGTCAGTAGAAGGAGACTATACATCCCCATCATACTCCAGGCCCTTCCCTGGCTCTCCCTTGAACAGATTTTGAGCAGCTTCACCACTTTCCCTTCCTGGGGGGGGGGGAGTTTCCTAGTTTTTCCATACTGGTTCTTCCTGGTTTCATCCTAGTAGGGGGCTGGGATTTCACTTTGTTCCTTTTTTTTTGTTTCCCGTGTTCCCCCCCCCCCAGAGTTCTGGATCTAATGCCTGCTATCACTCCACAGCCCACCTGTCCTGCTGATGGGATGCGCCTGACCTTTGAGGAGAATCTGGGACTCCCCCACCCCCACCCCGTTTAGCCTTCAGTTCCCCTGGCTGAAAAGCGTTTGCGTGCACTGGGAGTGAGAGAATGAGGGCAGCCTACCCCGAGTACCTGGGCATCAGGTACGGCAGTTCTGCTCTGGATCCTGGTGCCCGGCAACTCTTCCCAGCTTCTAAGAACCCAGCAGTACCAGAAAGACCTCTGGACCCACAGAACCAGCTCTGCTTGTCAGGGCTGGCGAAGTACCTCAAATGATTGCTAGGGGGCAGCATGACCACATGATAGTCACTGCAGTTGCTTCAAGACAACTTAAGGGGCCTCCAGATGATCACTCTGCAAGTCAAGCACCGTGGTGGGGGGGCAGAATCCCGCCCCCCATCTCATTCCCCCCCCCGCCCTCTTTCAACCAAGGTTGCTCAGTTCCTCTTGCAAGACAGGTCTATAGAGCCACAGGCTCCCCCAAAGAGGCTGGAGCCACTCAGGGGCTGGGTGTGGGGAGAGCCAGGATCCAGCCCCCCTCAGCCATGGGCCAGTCCTTTTCATTCAGCCCAGCTACCTCAAAGAGTTATTGTGGGGGAAATAGGAGGCGGGAGGGCTGCGATCCTCCAGTGAAAGAGAAAACTTCAGCAAACAAATTCCCTCAGAATCTGCAGACAGAGCCCTTGCCGTAGGGCGGTGGTGTCAAACTCAATTTCATTGAGGGCCGCATCAGCATTGCGGTTGCCCTGGGGTGGGGGGTGTGTGGCCAGGGTGGGTGCAGCCTACTGGATGGGTGTGGATGGAGTGGGTGTGGCCTACTGGGTGGGCGTGGCCAGCTCTACATCGTTCACGTCAAGGGTGCCTGTGGGGGCCTGGGCAGGAGTGGGATAGATCTGAGGGTCTCTGTCAGAGGGCGGTGGGACCGAGGCAAGGGCCAAGGCATGGTGCATTTCTTCATTCCTCACAAAGGGTGACACCTCCCCAGCATGCACCCAGGGGGCGGAGCCAACGCAGCAGGGGCTGGTTCCTCGCTGTTTCCAGACAGCCTTGTGGAGCTAAGACTGAATGCCTTTCAGCATAGATGGCCACCACAAAATTGTACATTGGCTCCCGGCCAGCCTGGGCCAGGGCCAAAGCAGTGGGGGCCGTTCCCTCACTGTTTCCAGAATGGCTTCGTGGGCCATATGAAACCACTTTGCGGCCCCCATCCGGCCCCCAGGCCTTGTGTTTGACATGTCTGCTGTAGGACGCAGTTTGGCAGAAAAGGGCATTCCTCCATCATCAAGCACAGTGCTGGCACCCCTTTTTAAGAAGAGCTTCCTTTTTCCTGCCCACATTCTGCACAACGGTGGTCATCCAGGCACTGCTCCCGGCTGCAAACCTTGGAGCGGCCTCAGCACGGGACGGGTGGCAGTGGCATACGGCCCCAGGCCAAGGGGAAGAAAGGCCCTGTCCTGGACCTCCTGGGGCCCAACAGCTATCCCAATTCTGGGCCACGAAGAGTACCTGATCGCTGAGGGTCGGCATGAGTTGCATCTTCAGGAACCGGAAGCCGATCACCGGCAGGACGCAGAGACTCATGCAGAGGCAGATGGAGAGCCACACCTTAGGCTGGTTAAGAATGTTCCGGGCGGTGCCTGAGAGGGGAAGAGATGGAACAGCCCCAGTTGCAGTTGCCCTGCTGGGCTGAGGTGTCCTTGCTTTGTCCGTGGTGGTTCAAAGCGAATGTTTGGGAACAATGTAGGTGCTCCCCACAACACCCCCCACCCACTGTGGTGCTGCCCTGAGGCAAAGCCCCCTGGGGAGAGCAGTTTCCTCCAGGGATGGGACGGACCTATTCGACATTAAAGGGGATTTTTTGCAGCTTCTGAACATACCGACAAAGGGGAAGGAGGAGGTGAACATCTGGTAGGTGCCGTCGCTGTACAAGGTGAAGGTGATGATGAAGTAGATGGCCAGGCTGCCCCAAAGGAAGAGCTGGTTCACGGCCGTCCAGTAGGCCGTGTCCAAGCCCATCTGCAAAAGACAGCCTGGCTCATGTCGCAATGAGAGCAGCAGCTGCTCTGTCTCCCTGAACAGAACCCCAGCCCCTTCCATGAACTGGGGCATGCTGGATCTGCCAGCCTGGCCGAATAAAGTCACATGGCCTGAAAGCCCCTCCAGGCAGCAGCCACAGGATCCAGCCGCATGGATGCCTCATGCACACCGGAGCCTCAGCACTCCCTTCTTCAGCTAAGCTGCTCCCCTTGGGCTGCCTGGGGCAATGGGGGCTTGGCTTCCTTGCTAGGTTTCTGTTGTTTTGGTGGACCAGCTTTCCCAGACTTGAACCCCCACCCTTTGCGCAGCTTAATAGTAAACCGAGGATTAACGCAAGCCAACAAGGCTGGGTGCTTCCAGTAAAACTATACACCAGCTTTTGCTTAACTCACGAGCTGAGTGGGCTGTGGGGATGCTGATGCTAAACCCTGACGTCAGGATTTGGACCCGTCCTCAGGAGAAAGAGTCTGGGGGGGGGCCACAGAACTGGAGCAGTTGGCTTCACGGAGCCCCCTACCTGGACCGACACCACGATGAGCAGACAGGTCTGCGCCATGAGGGCGAAGGATTGATAATCAGCCGCGTCCCTTCCGTCGTTCCGGATGGAATCAAAAATGGTTCCGTAAGGGACCAAGAAAAGCACCAGGGAGCTGTATATGCTGTACAGGATGCATTTGGCAAACTCCTTCTTGTTGAAGTACAGGTTCTGCTGGCCAGGGATGTACAGCTGGGGAAACTGCAGGCTCCAGCGGTCATCTACATCCTGACAGTAAAAAGAAGAAGCTGGGGACCCAGGTGGCAGCCGCCCCATCTTCCAAAAAAGGCAAAGCCCTAGGAGTTGGCCCTGCTTGTTCCTGCTTCTGGGAGGCCAACAGGGTTGGGGCAGGTGGGCTTTCCAGAAAAAAGCTGTTCCACAACTAGCGATTGTGATGGAGCAGCACCTCCTCCCAGACTCGGCCCTGTGGACTGCTCTGTTCTGGACCAATCAAAGTGTCACCAAACCATTGGGCTGAGGGACGATGCAGCTGGCTTTAGAATGCTTTGCAGGAGTTCTGAAGTTGGTGATGACCACAGGAGTACCAGCCAAATCTGGGCAAAGCCCCACCTGGCACAGCTGGCCCCCACTGTTAGCAGGTCCTGGAAGGCTAGGAAGACCCTCAGGTCATAGACCTGCTCTTGGAATGAGTTTGAGCCCATCTGGAACCACAGCTAGAAATGACGTTTCAGAGAGGATGAGATGTTTGTGGACAGAGTGCAGGTCTGTTTTCTTAGGGGTTCATCTCAGCTGCTTTCTCCCCATCCAGACTCTAATAATATTGAGGCACAATTTCTAGGACCCCACAACACTGCTGGCCTGGCCTTTGGAACTGAAGGCTTTCTCTGCCAGGAGTTTCACATAGATGCTAAATACAACGGGGGAGAAGGTCTGTGGCACCCCACACAGGATTGGATTACTCCATTCCCCAGATCACCAATCCTTGCACGAAGCCTGCTAAGATCCCATGTTGATATTATAACATGCTGCTGAGATCTCAAAAGACCAGCAGTGGTTTACTTCCAATAGGGGTCATTAGCAGAGCGACCAATATTGTTTCATCTAATACTGGGCCTGAAAAAGTCCCAGATAATCTGTTTCCTCTGGGGTTGATTCCCAGCCCTCCTCTCTATAGGCTTTCCAAAAAGACGGGAAGTTAAGACTAAGTGGAAATAGACAAGTGCAGCTGGATCATGAGATGGCCTGTTTAGGAAAGGATACGACACCGGAGTTTATTTTGGGGGGAATATAGAGTGCTGATTTTAAAAAGTGGAATAAGAGTCCAGATGGACTTCAGTTAAGACTTTGGCATTAATTCATTAATTAATGAATTAAGAATCCTTACCATGAGAAACTTTCCATATTTATTTAGTAGATAGATAGATAGACAGACAGGTAGGTAGGTAGGGAAGTAGGGGGAGAGAGAGATGATGGATGGGTAGATAGATAGATAGATAGATAGATAGATAGATAGATAGATAGATAGATAGATAGATAGATAGATAGATAGATAGATAGATAGATAGATATAGATCTGATAGAGTGACTTTGAGATAGATAGATAGATAGATAGATAGATAGATAGATATAGATCTGATAGAGTGACTTTGAGATAGATAGATAGATAGATAGATAGATAGATAGATAGATAGATAGATAGATAGATAGATAGATAACTGATAGGGTGACTTTGAAGGCTGGTCACTAGAAGACACCACAAAGAAACAAGTGTATTAGTGGATCATTGGAGAGAAATTTAGGACTTATTGGGCTCAGAAAATAATGTTAAAGATATCTGCTATAATCTGTAAACGAGATTGTGTCATGAAAAAGGGCCCAGTGAGGGAGTCTTCTTTTTCTATTGCTTTTCCTTCAGTTTCATGGACTGAAACCTTGCAAAAGCACCATGAGTGAGTCTTACCTGGTCAAAGAGGCTCATTCCAAGCACTGGCAAACAGGTGTATACCATGTTGTAAAGGGTGATGAACCATTCATCGTACACAGTCTGCAGGGAAAGAAGGGGGATGGGGAAAGAGGGAAGGACATGAGACAGGAAAGTGGAATGGTACCAAACCTACAATCTGGAGATCCGTGGATAGAGAAGGGATGCCCGTATTTCTTTCTGGGTTCCTGTTGCTTAGATGTGGTGTCCTGCCTTTGTCAAAGAGGGATATAATTTATTTATTAAATTTTTATAACACTCATCTTGCCTAGAGGTGACTCTAATATCCTGCTCTTCTCCCCATTCTATCCTCAGGACAATTCTTTGCATTCTGGCTGTGGGACAGTATATACTACATAGCCTTCTTTGTAAATGAGCAACTGTTGTGTTGGCTCGCAAGGTTGACTCTGCAGCAGAGAACCTGGTTTGCCTTAGAACGGTGTGAGCATACACACCTACCAATCCTGTCCTTACTGAATATCCCTCCAGGGAATTCTGGTCACTTAGTTACCCTTTTTGTCTTTACTGAAAATACGATGCGAGAGTTGACTTAGTTGACCAAAGCCACAACTGGGAGCAGAGGTCAAGCTCTATGGGCCCACAGACGGAAGATGGTGACTTGGAATATAAGGGAAAAGAACAATAAAGAGCATGAATGAATGAATTAATCAATCAATCAATTAATTAATTAATATGGGATATGTGTGTCTGGTTTGGACATTAAGAGGGAATGAATGAGAATCAATGCAGAAGACAAACTTTGAAGGAGGGACGAAGGGGCTGGGAAGAAAGCAGAATGCAGCTTTCTCTATAAGGCAGTAGGGCGATGAGTATGTCTGTCTGTCTGTCTGTCTGTTGGCCTTGTCTGTCTAAAGCAGGAGTAGGCAACCTTGGCTATGACTCGTGGACTTCAACTCCCAGAATTCCTGAGCCAGCATGGCTCAGCTTGGACACCTCTCCCTTTCCGCTCAGCGTGGCTGGCTCAGGAATTCTGGGAGTTGAAGGCCACGAGTCATAAAAGAGCCAAGGTTGCCTACCCCTGGTCTAAAGTGATTCTATGAGGCTGGCTTGGCTAAGGGAAGGCGACTGCAGCAGCCGCTGATCAGCTGTGTCCAAGCAACACCCTTAATCAAGCCAGTGTACAAGAGGGATATGTGTGTACAGATAGTCCTCGACTTACAATTGGTTGCTTAACAACTGTTTGAACTTACGGTGGCCCTAGCCAGAGCTACTTATGACCTGTTTTTGAAGTTACAATGGCTACACAGAGTTACACGCATCCCTGCGGTCATATGATCACATTTTGAGTGCTTGGCAAACATCTCGTCTTTATGATTGTTTGTAGCATTTGCACCTTTTTTTTTTTTTTGCCAATTCTGGCATTTGCTTATAGTTTCCAGTACAAAAACATTCATTTGGGAAAATTTACTTAACAACCACCACAAAAAATGTTGAAAAATCTGATGCGGTCATGTGATGCCTTGACTTATAACCACAATGACTTATAGCCATAATTCTGGGCTCAATAATGGTTGTAAGTCAAGGATTATTACAGTAAAATTGCTTCCTTTCCACCGATTACTTCCTTTCTCTCTGCAGTGTGTGTTGTGTGCTGTGCAAAGCCAAGCTGTGTGGTTAGTGTCCCGGTCCCCACACTGGCCAAGGGCACATACATGTGAGATGGAGCGTTGCCTGGTCCACACAGAGAAGCTACATGCATGGATGATTTTCCATGGCGACAGAATCCAGGACCAGAAATTATGAGCATAAGTTACAATTACTTGGATTTCATTTCAATGTAGGGAAAAACCTCTGAATGGTAAATTTCTGGGTGACGGTAACTACAAAAATTGTGGGTTCTCCATCTGCGTGACTGAGAAGTTGGATAGCAACTTCCTAAGGTTGAAAACCGAACTGGTTTTCTCTCTGCAGACGAGTGTAGTTCTTGCATTGCCCACTGTCCTGGCAAAGGGCTCATGGCCATTAATCAATCAGCTGGCTCCTGAAACCAAATTGCCACTCGTCTGAAAGGAAAAAAGATGCCTAATCTTGCTGGGCACTGACCACAGGCCATTAGCTGGAGCAGGCCATGGAAATGCTCTGCCCCCACCCCCTTACCCTCCCCAGTTAGATACCTCTGAGGTGGAAGCCTGGGCTTATCAGAGGCGAGTACCTGGGCGGAGAAGCCGGAGAAGAAGCCAAACCAGAAGTGCACCAGCGTGAAGGCAAAGTTTTTGTAGAAGAAGTAAGACAAGAACTTGCACATGCGGATGTACGACCACCGGCCGTGGACCAGCAGCAGCCGCTGCAGGTAGCGGAACTGGGCGAAGGAGAAGTCACTGGACATCACTGCCTGCATCCCCTCCTGGCCGCTGATACCAACGCCAATGTGGGCAGCTAGAAGACCAAACAGGAAGGCCCTCAGCAGGGAGCAGGACCAGGAGAAGCTGGTGGGTGCCTGATCCATGTGTCCCACAGCTGCTGTGCTTGGCCTCCCGAGCCCAGAGAGATGGGGCACAGGAAAAACAGGAAGACTCGGACAGAGACCTTATCCAAGGCCAAGGCTCTCCTGGGCTTCCAAAATCAGAGAGAGGGCCAGCCACGGGAGCCACGGCCACCTGCTGGATTTGCTTTCTGTTCCACGCCCCTTGGCCTGGCTTGTCATGCCTGGAGTCCCTCTGCTTCTGCAGCTTCTCCCCTGGGCCTAGCTGAGAACTGAGCGGCCTGCCACACTCACTTTTGATCATGCCGACGTCGTTGGCGCCATCTCCGATGGCCAGGGTGACGGCTTTCTTGTACTTCTTCACCAAATCGACCACCTGGGCCTTCTGCAGCGGAGTCACCCGGCAGCAGATCACCGTTTTGCACAGGCAGGCCGTGTTCACCAGCAATTCTGCCAGCTCCCCCTCCAGCGCGTAGGCCTGCCAGGGGCAGAGTGGGTGCGTGAGTATGCAAGAGAGGAGGGCCCTTCTCCCAAGGCTGGAGGAAAGAAAAAGGCCAATGGTCCTGGGTTGACTGAGGTGCCAGTCCCTTCCACCTCCCTGAGGACCAGCCCTTTGTCTGTCCTGAAGTGGCACTTCTTTATTTATTAAATCAGTTTATATGGCTACTCTCCTCGTAGCACGTTAAAAACCTACAGTGGTTGCCAAAACGAAAGCCCGTGAATCCCCAGCAGTAACACCCCACCTGGAGCGCAGCCAGTGCCATGTGACTGGATCGGGACCAGGATCAGGACCAACCTGGTCTCAGGGAAAGGGCATGGCGTTCCTGCCAGTTCCCACTGCTTCGCCCTTGTTGGCCAAGTGCTGGGAGGGCTGCGGATGCCAGTTTGCCCCCTGGTCTGTTGCAGAAGGGGCCCAGCTCAGGCGCCACCTTACCAAACTGTGTCCATTAATGATCAGGCCGTAGTCTCCACTGGCGGGCTCTTTGTTCCAGAAGCCTCCAGGCTCTTTGTTCCAGAAGCTGGAGGTTGACCTCTTGACTTCAAGCTCTTCTGTCTGTACATCGAGGTCTGCTTGCATCCTGTCCTTGGCTGTCCTGAAAAAGAATCTACATGGGGAAACCCGTGGACATGAAGCGAGAAGGGACAGTCCATGCAGGGTGCCCCTTGATGCCAAGGGCATATGGGAGCCGGGAGAATGACCCCCCCCCCAGAAACGATTGTGCCCTTGACAAGGCTTGAGGGGAGGGGGCCACCAGGCACATTGCACCGTGACCCAACCAGTGCCCCTTTCCAGCCCAAACCATGTCCCCATTGAGTTGTGAATGGAGCCACTGCTGCCTTGATGGTCCACTCTTATTACTAGTCTTGTTATCATTAAGATGTATTTGCTCTGGGGGGGGAAGCTGGTTCCAAATTGCCTAAGCCACTAAATGGCCCCAAGTCAGAGAAACCTAAGAGGAAAAGGTCTGAATGAGCCAACCAATTGAGGAGCAGCCTCTGCCAGGATACTTGGCTGATCCCACTGCCTCCCCCTTGAGAGATGACTGGGTTGACACAGTCATCACAGGAAGACCCAGCGATGGATGGCCGTTAACACCACCCAAAACTTTGCATCTGACTGTGCTGAATGAGCCCAGAAAAGCAGGTTGTACGGAGGCAGAGTCTGGGAGGTTGATATGGTGGCCCAGCCACTCACCTACCCACACGCTTTGGAGATGGGGAGGGGCAACCCAGAAACAGGGTGGATCAATGAGAGGACCTCTTCCTGTCTGGGAGTCCTAAGAAGCATTCCTTCAGACCTCCAAGATGAGTCCGGGAAGGGCAAGCGAGGAGGGAGTGGTCTCCCCCCCCTCGGAGAGATCCACCTTTGATCACAGCTGGCATGCCCAATGAGATGGCAGAGAGCCTGAGGCCCTCCAGGAATTGGATGGAGAAGGTTCTCACCAGGAGAACCGTCTCCTCTTTCTCTGCTAGCTGTTCTCCCCACTCAGAACAGCTGCCCCCACCCCAGATGGGCATGGGAAAGAAGGAGCAGCAGAACGGGGGGGGGGAGAGCTCTCGCTCTCTCTTTCACCTGAGCTGCTGCTCCACTTCTTCCCAGCTGTCGCCATGAATGAAGAAGATGTCCTTCATGGCATCGTACAGCATGTTGCAGGAATAGCCGATGTTCACTGCGGTCTCTGGAAAAACACACACACACACACAAACCAGGTCCATTATTTTCAGGAAGGAGAAAGACCCCCTTCTTTCCCCCAGCTCTCTCCTCTGGTCCCCAGTTGTCTTTCTATATGGGGCTGGGAGAGGAGGGGGCCCCAGCCCCGCACCCGGGAAATTGGCACGCCAGCCAAAGGACTAAACCAGGGGTAGGCAACCTTGGCTCTTTTATGACTCATAGACTTCAACTCCCAGAATCCCTGAGCCAGCATGGCTCAGCTTGGAAACCTCTCCCTTTCCCCTCAGCATGGCTGACTCAGGAATTCTGGGAGTTGAAGTCCACGAGTCATAAAAGAGCCAAGGTTGCCTAACCCTGGACTAAACCCATCATCCCAACAGATGGATCTTCTGTGGCTGAATAATCTTAATTCTTTGCTAGCCTCCCTGGACTCCGCTACCTCCGGGTTGTGCACTTCTCTCTGCCCCACCGTCTATTTTTCTTGCCCACGTGTAGAACCCATGTTCTTCTACTTTTGGCTGTTCCTCAAAGACTAGGCGACTTTCCTGCTTTCTCCCCCCCCCCCACTCCACCCTACCCCCCCCCGCCTCCTTCCATGCTCCTCTCCTGAGCCTGGCTCCCAGCAGACCAGAAATTTGCTTGAAAAGCTGGCTGGCCCTGTCTCTCTCTGCTTCTGGAAGCAGGAAGACTTCTCGGTCGCCCATGCAGGGCACGGCAGCCTTCTTGCCTCCCCTCCCATCAACAGGAAAGACCCCGAAAATATGTTGCGTCTGCCCAGGAGCCTTGCTGGGAAGCAGTGGCTCTGAAGCAAGGAAGAGATGCTCCACCTGGCACTGGTGTGGGAGCAGGACCCTCCTTGTCACAACAAAAGACCAGCAGGGAGGTGCAGATGCCCTGAAAGCCCCCCATGGTAGTTCTGGGGTGCCACTTGGTTCTCTCAGGGTTTGGGCCTCAGCCTCCCACCCCTTTCCCCAGCCGGTACCTTGCTTGTCACCGGTGAGCACCCAGATTTTAATATTTGCCCTTCCCAGGATCTCAATGGTCTGGGGGACCCCTTCCTGCAGCTTGTCCTCCACGGCGGTGGCCCCAAGGAGCTAGGGAGAGAAGGAAGGGTGAGCCAAGAGGTGCAGGTGGGATGTCTCTGCCAACCTGCTGCAAGCATTGTTTGCCTGCCATAATCCTGGCCCAGCCTCTCAAGCCCCTGGTGCCCGCTCCGGAGAGCCACCTGTTGCAAGGCTAGCCACTCAGCGTTCATGCTAGGTGTTTGTGTATTGGGGAAAGGGCAGGACAAACTGGGCAGAGGGAGTCATCAAATCAGGGGCCAGAATAGGCTGGCATTTCTCAAGTGAACTGTCACTGGATCTGTGGCCTTCCTGTAATTTTTTGGGTATTGTACTGCAGGCAGGCAATGAAAAAAAAAATCCCTTGTAATGCCAGGTAGCTTTGGGAAAGCGGAACATTTTAAGAGGCTTGCAGGCCAGAACGTCTGCAGCACCCAGAGCGATTGGCCAGCATAAAAACATCAAGGCCCACGCTGTGCCCCAGAAGGAAAGGACAACAGTTCTGAGCAGGGCAGGGTGAAAAAACACCTCCAGGTTGATGGGATCTGGGCAATACATCTTCACTTGCAAGGGAACTCCTAAATTAGACGTTTTAAGGCATACAAGTGCTGGTAGAAAGGGGATGGCTGGCACCTGCAAGGAAGGCCCATTTCTCTAAAATTGTGCACGAGACCATTGTATGGGAGCAAGTGTTGGGCATGTCAGTTTCACGTGGTGGAATCTAAGAAGTATGTGTTAAACAGACCAGAATGGATGGGTGATGGTGAGATAAGCAGGGAAGGTGTTGAGGTGGCTGGGACAGAACGAGGAAGGACCCCATCACCAGCTGCTCAGCGAAGGAAGGACGGAGGAGCCCATACGGAGGAAAAAAATCACGGAGGGACGAAGGGGGCACAATCCTCCAGTGAGAGGTTTGCCATCACTGTTCTAGGGTCATCCAAGCTGGATCAAGTTCTGGGGAATCTGCCTGTAATTTACCATGTTACAGCTGAAGATCTCTCTTTCTTTCTTTCTCTCTCTTTCTCTCTATGTAACTGTGTGTGCATGTGTGTTTGATTGTGTAATTATACTTTTTAGCTGTCTGGCAGAGTTCTCAAGAAGAGCACTGAAGGAGAAATTCCTTGACCACCAAACCTTTCAGCAGAACCTGGTGCCACAAGGTGCTGGCTGCCTCAAGAGCATCGGAGGACTCCCCCCCCCCCCAGAGCAGCAGCAAGTGGTGCCCGACTGACATTTGCTAGGGCTGGTGGATGGGGTGAGTGAAGAAAGGCAACGGCTGCCACTGTGCCACTTGCCTACCACCTCTTGCCGGGAGCCTACCTGCAGGTCTCTCTCGATCTCCTCATACAGCTGGGACAGCTTTCCCTCTCGGTCCTGCAAACTGGTGCTCGCCTTGTGGTGACGCTTCCGCCACCTCTCAAAGTAGGACTCCTCCAGGTCTCGGTAAGCCACCACCAAAGTCCGCAAACCTTCCCCAGCAAACTCCTAGGGAAGACAGCAGGGTCTGAGTGCCAAGCCACTCACAGAGGGCCTGTCACACGCCCTGTTCCCAGGGGCTGGGAGCTGCTGCCCCACATCCAGCCTGTGGCGAGGGAGGACACAGATCAGGAGCACCTCTGGGTGCAAAACCGCAGAGCCGAACTCCAGGAGTTTGAGCCGGGCCCTGCCCGGCGGTTGTGCCAAAGGGGCAGCCTTGGGGCATGACGGCTGCTCCTCTGGGAGCCCTTTGCCCCACAGCCTGGAAAGGTACAGTCCTGATGGGTTCATGATGAAGATGAGGGAGCGGGTTTGATCTCTATGGCTCCGAAGAGCAGGATTCTGTGCAACCAGGGAAATCAACCCAGACGGAATCCCAGCAGCTGCCACATGAAACACTTGAGGTCTCCCATCAGATGTGCTCTGGGGGACCCAGGCCTAAGCAGAAGGCTGGACTAGATGCCCTGGGCCAGGGGTAGGCAACCTTGGCTCTTTTATGACTCATGGATTTCAACTCCCAGAATTCAACTCCATTGAGTCATAAAAGAGCCAAGGTTGCCTACCCCTGCCCTGGGCTTTCAGAGGGAGGCCAGTCAGCAACTGTGCAGCTCAGCTGCCTTCTCACTTCTGTGGCCAGCTCTCTTCCTGGCATTGAGAAGGCCTGGGGGGCAGGGGGTACACAGCTTTGTATCAGCTTGGAGGAAGCAGCACAGCTGAGGGATCCGTGGGGCCAGAAAGCAGGTGGCAAGCCAGCAAGCCAGGCTCCTGCCTGCATTTGGAAGAAACAGGAGGGCAGCCCCCCAGCTGTGTCTCCACTGGGACAGGGGGCACCTACATCCAGGTGCTCGGTAGTCTCTTCTTCCAGTTCTTTGCAGGAGGGATGGAGGAGCTTGTACAGGATGGTGTCGGCCCCTTTGCAGTACAGAGTCAGCTCACCTCTCGGGTTTCGCACTGGGAACAAGGCAGGAAGGGCAGAAGGTGAGACTGCAGCAGGTGGAGCTCAGAAAAAGACCCAAACCGGAAGCCCCCCCCTCCTCATCTCTCTTCCCTCCCCTCTGGCGTTCCTCCTGCAAATCACCAAACGTGCCCCAGGTAGCCTGTCTGAAAGGTGACAGTCCTTCTGCACTGCTGACGGTTTGTCTGAATCGTTCCTCAATAATTACACTAGCACAACATCACTGATAAAAGAGAATTATCTGTAGTTCAGGATTGAGCTGTGGTGCTCTCTGAGCTTGGGGGTTGCCTTGCAGACTTTTCATGACCCAACTAGGTAACGTCATCAGTGCTAGAAGGGAGGGGGCTAGTGGAGAAGAGGAGGAGGAGGAGGAGGAGAATTGTGGAGTCCCTGGTGCTCTCTGAGCTTGGTTGTTTTCTTAGAGAAGTTTCATTACCCATCACATCATCAGTGCTAGAAGGGACGGTGAGAGGAGGAGGAGAGGGAAGAGAAGGAGGACAATGATGACCACCACCACCACAGGGTATTTGGTATTCTCTGACCTTGGTTGTTTTCTTACAGACATTTCATTACCCAGCTAGGCAATAAATTCAGCCCTGATGATGCTACCTGGTTTGGCAACGAAACATCTGCAAGAAAAAGACCAAGCTCAAAGAACACCAAGGACCCCACTTGCGCATCAAACCAGGGAAGCCAGCAAGGCCTTGGGGTTGTGCAGAATGACAATTTCTGCTGTGACACAAGACAAGCTCTGGGCAGGAGGAGAGCTTGAGCAACACGTGTGCAGAGTGGGAAGGAAGAGAGACACACCAATGACGGACATCCTTTTGCGCACATTGTTGAAGTCCAGAATGGCCAGCAGCTCGTAAACCACGGTTTCCCCCATTTCCACCACAGTGATGGTCGTGGGGGTGCGGGCACGAAACACGAAGCCGAAGTTTCGGGCTGCAGTCACCAGGGCCCCCTCGTCTGGGGACTGGGCTTGGTACACCAGCGTGCCTGCGGGCGAGGAAAGGTGCTGGTTGTTTTGCAAGCATGAGCCCCCTCCCCCCCCCAGCCACCGTGTCCTCCCCTGCCAGCTCTGCCCTGGGGCGCAACCTCACCCTCCTTTGTTTCTTCTGGCATCACCGTGTGGCAGAGGGAAAGGAGGCGGAAGAACCTGTGTGTGGACTCATCCCTGGCCTTCACCGCTCTGACCAGTCTGTGGTCATAGAAGACAAACTTTGGGTCGGCCAAAGGGTTCCATGAAAAGTCAACTTTGTCTATTGCCTGTGGAGGAAACGAGGAGGGTCAACCTCATTTGCTCTGAGCTGGACATTCTCTGGACACCAGCCAGCCCACATAGCAGGAGGTAAAGCTAAGTTTAGGGCTCCTGAATACATACTGCTTGACTCACCATGAAGACCCCCATCACATTGCTTCCTGAGGAGATGCCAACACTAACGCTACCCTCAACCCTCCCTGGCCTCATCCATTGTGTCTTCCTCTGGGTCAAAAGTTATGGGTCCAGCTTCTGATGGCCGGGGGGCGGAGGGTGGCATTTTCCTGGAGAGGGCCTCTGGTGCCTGGTAAGTTTCCTCCATGCAATTTCATCCCCAGCTGCCTCCCTTGCAAAGGCCTTCCTGGGCTACCTCTCTCCTTTCGCACCCAGCCCCTGGTTCCTGTAGAGCAGTGGTTCTCAATCTTTTTAATGCCGCGACCCCCAACCGGTCATAAGTCGAGGACTACTCAACCGGTCGTAAGTCGAGGACTACTCAACTGGTGCAGCACCATTTGCAGAATGGGACTTTTGGTGGGCTCAGCAGGGCAGAGACAGCCTGGACAATTCCTATTGGCTTTTGAAAGCCAATAGAATTAGACTCTATTCAAGAGAGTCTATTCTATTGGCTTTCAAGAGCCAATAGAATAAAAGGGAGTAGCACAGCTAAGGACAAGGGGGGAAAAAAGGCAGACTGCGTTGTTTGGCGATCCCCGTGAAATGGTCGTTCGACCCCAAATGGGATCCCGACCCACAGGTTGAGAACCACTGCTGTAGAGGCTGATCTCAGCTGCAGGTAAGGGGGGAATCTGCATTTGTCCCTAGTGGACAACAGCCCACCTGAGTGTTGTGAAGGGGGGGTTCTTAAGGTCCACTTGCTGCCAGCCTCTTCAGTGATATAAGATGTGGGGAGCTCAGCTGGAGGCAAATTGATCAGACTTGTGCCAGTTTCCCTTCTACTCCAAGGGACGGTAAAAAAGCTCTACAAGACCACTAGGCTCCTGTCCAAAAACAGCCCAACTGGACAGGAAGGTGGCCAAGCCTCTCTTCGCCACTGTCCCCTGGTCATCCAGAGTGGGAAGGAAGTGGACATCAGGAGACCTGTGCATCTTGCTATCAGCAAATGGCACCATAGGGCAGTGATGGCGAACCTTTTAGAGACCGAGTGCCCAAACTGCAACCCAAAACCCACTTATGCATCATCAGGTGCCGGATGGGTGTGGCCCATTGGCTGGATGTGGCCCATTGAGTGGGCGTGGCTGCGGTGGTAACAGCAGACTGGGTGGGACTAAAAGGTTCAATCAATCCATTCCAACTTTGCATGATCTTTTTTTCCCCCGAGAAGTTGAAATTGACTGATTGATTGAACCTTTTTTTTTTTGCACATGGCGGCGGAGGCTTAAAGCAAAAAGGTTTTATAAAATCCAGCTGAAGGCCTAGGGCTGGGGCGATGGCGCACATGCCCACACAGAGGGTTCTGAGTGCCGCGTTTGGCATTCGTGCCATAGGTTCACCACCACTGCCACAGGGGCTTCCCCAGCTCTTGCCTCCCTCACCCCACCCTGGTCCTGTGGACAGATGCCCTTTTGGTCCCGATGCTGAGGTAGCGTTGGGGGAACTGGAAGCGGGTGAGGCATCGCTGAAGACCTCCACCTTCAGCGATGGCACTCAAGGGCTGCTGTGCAGAAGAGCAGATAGCCTGGGAACAAGGTTACTGCAAAATACAGGAGAGCTGAGTTCTCCTTGCCCCAGACTTGGTCTTCTCCCTTAAGCCTGGATGGCAGCCTAGAGGCCACCGCTGCTGGGACACAACCAGCCTCGTTTCAAAAGAGGATTGGTGAAGCGTCCCTTACCTCATAATCCTCCACCAGGAATCCATCTGAATCCAGAATATCTCCTGTGGGAGAGAAAAACACAGACCGGCTTTGAAGGACAACCAGGGCCTCTGTGCTCCAGGGGACATGGGGGGGGGGCTCCTGTTCCTCCCTTTCTGTTCTGAAATTCCAAACCTTGGCTCTCATCACCAAGAATGTCAAGACAGAGGGATGCTCAGGACCAAACCACCCATGGACACACCACACTCGACCCTCATGCTAAGCACACACTACAGTCAGAGTGAGACCTTCCCCAAATTGCTGTGTCCACCTCTTGGCCACCTTGGGCCTCTTTTAGACAGAGACAGAGGTATTGGGGGGGGGGTCTGACTGTGCCTCCAGAATAATGAGTCTCATGACTAGAATGCCTGCTTGCCGTTTTCTATCTCTTGCAAAGGGCCTTCACCCCTTATCTGAAAGTGATTTGGGGGCCAGAGAGCCAAAAGTGCCGGGGAACAGTTCTGGGCCCAGTGCTCTTCAACATCTTCATCAATGATTTGGATGAGGGGATAGATGGGGAACTCATCAGATTTGCAGATGACACCAAGCTGGCAGGAATAGCCAACACTCCAAAAGACAGGCTTGGGATACAGAAGGATCTGGACAGACTTGAACACTGGGCACTATCTAACAAAATGAAATTCAAGGGCGAAAAAAGCAAGGTTCTATATCTAGGCAAGAAAAACCAAATGTACAGGTATAGGATAGGGGGTACCTTTGCTCAATAGTAGTAACTGTGAGAGGGACCTCAGAATCCTAGTGGACAATCATTTAAATATGAACCAGAAGTGTGCTGCAGCTGTCAAAAAAGCCAACACAGTGCTAGGCTGCATTAACAGAGGGATAGAATCAAGATCACGTGAAGTGTTAATACCACTTTACAATGCCTTGGTAAGGCCACACTTGGAATACTGCATCCAGTTTTGGTCACCGCGATGTAAAAAAGATATTGAGATTCTAGAAAGAGTACAGAGAAGAGCAACAAAGATGATTAGGGGACTGGAGGCTAAAACATAAGGAACGGTTGCTGGAATTGGGTATGTTTAGTCTAGTGAAAAGAAGGACTACAGGTGACATGATAGCAGTCTTCCAATATCTCAGGGGTTGCCACAAAGAAAAGAGGCTATTCTCCAAAGTGCCTGAAGGCAGGACAAGAAGCAATGGATGGAAACTCATCAAGGAGAGAAGCAACTTAGAACTAAGGAGAAACTTCCTGACAGTGAGAACAATTAACCAGTGGAACAACCTGACTCCAGAAGCAGTGAAAGCTCCAACACTGGAAGTTTTTAAGAAGAGACTGGACAGCGATTTGTCCGAAATGGTGTAGGGTTACCTGCCTGAGCCGGGGGTTGGACTTGATGACCTTCAAGGTCCCTTCCAACTTTATTATTATTATTATTATTATTATTATTATTATTATTATTATTATTATTATTATTATTATTATTATTGATCATCGCACAGTCAGCCAGATATTCAGACTGGATTTGGCCCTTTGTCTACCTATCGAGTTCTTACCAAGGACCTGGGATAGGCAGATGTGGATGTTTGATGGTATTACAGATATCGTCGCAGGATGGAAGCAGTTCCTAGTAAGGCCGCCTTTTGCAATTGACTAATAGCGAATTTGTCAATGCCAATGGTGTTCAAGTGTTATTATTATTATACCCCCCTCTCCCTTGTCTCCTCCTTTTCTCCAGGGAAAGGGGGGCTGGCTCTGACCCGCTTTCATCTTTCCATCATACAGCAAGACACCCCTCCATCTGGCCCCATCTTACCGTAGAGTTTCCCAGCGATGCAGCATTTGTTGAAGATCATTATGTTCTTAGTGAGGGTCCCTGTTTTGTCTGAGAAGATGTAACTGATCTGCCCCAGCTCCTCATTGAGGGTGGTGGTGCGGGCCTGGGCAGGCATATCAATGAGTGGGTAGTACATCTTGTGATCCCAGTCGATGTAGCAGCTGTTGCCCAGGCGGATGATCTCAACACTGGAGCAAAGAAAGGCACACACTGGGTCCCTGGCAGGAAGGAAAGTGTCCAGTGCCCACTTCCACCCTGACAAGGTGATATGATTCAGCCAGCTGATGTGACATTGTCTAGACCAGTGGTTCTCAACCTTTTTAATGCCACGATCCCCAACCGGTCGTAAGTCGAGGACTACCCAACTGGTGCAGCACCGTTTGCAGAATGGGACTTTTGGTGGGCTCAGCAGGGCAGAGACAGCCTGGACAATTCCTATTGGCTTTTGAAAGCCAATAGAATTAGACTCTATTCAAGAGAGTCTATTCTATTGGCTTTCAAAAGCCAATAGAATAAAAGGGAGTAGCACAGCTAAGGAAAAGGGGGAAAAAATGGCGGACTGCGTTGTTTGGCGACCCCTGTGAAATGGTCATTCGACCCCCAAATGGGGTCCCGACCCACAGGTTGAGAACCACTGGTCTAGACAGAGCAGTAAGCCACACACAGATGGCAAAGGATCACTGCTGGCCATGGCTGAAGTGCCATTGGTTCCTTTAGGGACTGTCCCCTGTATTGAAGGGACAAGGCCCCTTGGCTGGTGAATGGAGGCGGCTCTCTCCTCCTGTTCCCCAAGTCAAGTCAGGGACACCCCCTCAGGAATCTGTGGTGACAGGAGAGGCCTCTTTTTGGCAGTGATCCAAGGGACATGGGTTCTGGGTGGCTCCTCCAAGTGAGCCTGCTGCTCAGAACATCCCACCACGATGGCAGCTCTTCCAGGACAGGACCACCTCCAGAAGCAGGAAAGAAATTGCCCCCACCCCACCAGGCTCAGACCACCAGGCTCCATGGGTTCTCCTTCCAAGCTGAGTGGGGGGAGGCTGGTCTGGCCCCTCAATTGCCATCTTACCTGACATAGAGAGAAATGGGCACCACCGTGTTGAGGATGATGACGTAGGACCAGAACACAAGAAATGCAGAGAAAAATGATGACTTGACATCCGTTTCCCAGGGCAGGTACACCTGGAACCGGTAGCCTTGGTTGTATTCCCAGATGCAGTTGCCGATGGCCAAGATCAAACACATGATGGCCAAAAAGAGAAAGATCTACCAAGAGAGAGAGAGAAATTGGTAGCAGCCTAGGTGGCAGAGAAGGACCTCCCAGTCTGGGGACCAGGCCTACCACCTTCACCCAGGGCGGCCATGGCCCAGACCAGGTAGCCCTCCCTCTGAGTGCCTGAGCCACACCAGTCTGTCACACCAAATCAAAGGGTGAGAAGAGGACAGCCTTTTTGCTCAGGGATGGATCCACTAGAGACCTTCTGAAGGTCTCTCTTTGAAGACCTCCAACAGAGAGTGCTTCCTGCCTCAAGGGATGGTTTTCTCCACTGGCTGACAACGCAGCTGTCATCCCGGCTGGGTCAGGATACTATCCAATCAATTTGCACAAGTGGATTCTTGGTGTTGTTCCAAACATTTCAGTTCCAGCAATATCAGAGGACTGACACAGATGAAGCTTGGTCGCTGTTTACAGGCAGCTTCCATAATTGGACCTTTTTTGGTTATGTTGCTGCAACTTTTCTTGTGCAGTAGTTTTATTCAAAATTATATTAAACCGATAAAACAAATACGGAATAATACAAAAATATATTTAGAAAGAAGAAAAAATATTAAAAATTGTGGAAAAAGGAAAAATAAAATCCTCCCCCCCCCAGGGAAAAATAAATATCCCCCTTCATCCTCAGCAAGCATATTCATCATTGGCATCTTTGTGGCAAAGAACCCAGCCCTTCCTTGATAGTGAAATTTGCAGGAGATAAATTTAAAAAGAATCAATCAATCAATCAATGCATGCATGCATGCACACATACATACATACATACATGTATAAACAAATAAGTAAATAAATAAGTACATGCATGCATGCATGCATACATACATGTATACAATAGGTGGCAATAATTCTTGGCTCAGCTCCTGGTTCTAAAAAGACACTTTTGCCATCATCCAATAAAACTATCAGGGTAAGCCCGTCCTAGGCGAACCCAAAGGCCTTTAGCCAAAAGCCAAAGAAGACAAAGCCGGCCTCATTCACAGCTGGCAGCCAACGAGCCACCCACTAGGTAAAGGATTGCATGGACATCAGTTGTCAGTAGAAGACATAATGAAACATGTTTGATTTCACAACACAGAGAGGAATTCAGAATAGAATAGAACTGGAAGGGACCTTGGAGATCTTCTAGTCCAGCCCCCTGCTCAAGCAGGACACCCATACTATCTCACACAAGTGACTGTCCAGCCTCTTCTTTAAAAACTCCAGTGATGGAGCACCCACGATTTCTGGGGGCAAGCTGTTCCACTGGTTCATTGTCCTCACTGTCAGGAAGTTTCTCTTTAATTCCAGGTTGCTTCTCTCTTTGATCAGTTTCCAACCATTGTTTCTTGTCCTGCCCTCTGAGAATCCCATTTTTATGAGCACACTTCACACCTTGGCATGATCAACGCAATTGAAGGCTTTCCTATAATCAAGGAAGCAAATTGTGACTTCTTTTTGGTATCCTTTGGCGCTCTCGTGTATCCAGCATGAAAGCCAGCTTCAACATCTGGCATCTCTTTTCCCATGCAGGGCCCTGATCTACACTGAATGATTGTTAAGGTATTTAAATTTAGTAGCTAGGGCAGTGAAAGGTTGTGCAGTGAGCCAGAACAACAATTGTGGTTGATTGATGGCAGCTGTGTGAGGCAATCTGCACTGTGATTGCTTGCTGTGGGTGTGGAGGGGGGGGTTCCCCCCCTTTTTTTCTTCTGTGTGCACTTTTGTGCTCTGCGATTTACCTCAGGATTTTTGCCTGGTTATCTTGTTTGCCTGATTATCTTGTTTGCTGCAAATATTTATGTAAAATGTATTTATTTATATAAAATTATAAGTTTGCGTCAGTGTCTCTGACTTCATCTGAACACCAGCTGCACAATTCCCTGACAGTGATCCTCAGCATTATTTTGCCGGCATGAGGAATTAAGGATATTGTATGAAGGAGACTCTGTTAAAACTCTTTTGTTTGGTATTGATAGGCAGACTGATCTCCTCCAATCTGATTAATAGTATTTTGTGGCCTAGCTTGGTTACAAATTCTTCTATAACTTGCCTGTTTAATTAATCCCTATGGCATCTCTTACCACACACCCATTAAAGCAACACCAGATAAGTGGGAACCAGCCCCATTTAAGGAAAAGCGATCAAGAAGAAACAACAGCCGCATCACACAAAGCCGGCAGGACCAACTGCTGCATCCAAAGAGATACCGAACCTCACTTTGTGTCCACCCACTGATGTGGTTATGGACTGAGGGAATAAAATGTCTGTCAAGAAAATGCCAAGCTCAGAGAACATTCCCAATAAGTGGAGAACTTCATGTCTGAAATGGTCTAGGGTTGGACCAACCTTGAGCAGGGGGGCTGGACTAGAAGACCTCCAGGGCCACTTCCAACTCTCTTATTCTGCTAAGTCTCCTTCCCTGTTTGGCATGTGAGATCTCCAAGAGGGAGACAGGCATATTTGAACTGAGGAAGACCAACATTTACCAGACAATCCAGCTGAGGAAGACCAACATTTACCAGACAACCCAGACAAACGACACAACCCAGCCCAGATGCACTGGGCAGGCCATGTTGTAAGGATGCCAATCATCGCATCCCTAAACAGCTCTTCTATGGTGAGCTGTCTCAAGGAAAGCGATCACACGGGGGACAAAAGAAGCGATACAAAGACACGTTAAAAGCTTCTCTCAAGTCCCTGGATATTAACACCATCTCTTGGGAATTTCTGGCACATGATCGACCGACATGGCGCTCCTTGGTGTACCAGGGTTGCCAGACATATGAACACAGAAGGACTATCTTGGCACAAGAAAAGCGAGCCAGAGCTGCAAATGCTGAATTAACAGTGTCTACATTTCTTTGTTCAGTATGTGGCAGAACATTCCGTGCTAACATCGGTCTTATTAGCCACCTACGGACACATCGTTGATGGCCCATAACCCACAAGATGTCAAGGTCTTCATCGAAATCGATGGACGAACAACCATCTCTGGGGCAGCCCAAGTTAGGAAGCCCAACCCAACAAGCAGGACTCACCACCAAGACTAGGTAGTTCATGAGACGCTCGATGCTGGTCCGCTTCAGAATGGTTTTTCCACTGTTTTGCATCAGTTTGGTATCCGGCCCTGGTGAACCAACCACGGTGGGCTTACTTTAATTTCAGAATCAAAATGTTCTGCATCCAGAAAGGCAGGAGCTCTTGCCCCTTGTCCCCAGACTCCCCTCTCACGATGGAAAGGAGAGAAATGAATTTGAAGAGGGCAGAAGAAGGGCGGTGCTTACTCTGGGGGAGAAGGCAAGAAAAAGACCCCGGCGAGGGGTTCTGGAGCTGCGTAGACTCCCTTTTGTGAAGCATGCCATGGGGTGACTGAATGCAGCGGTGCCACAACTGTGGCGCCAGAGACACAGGAGCCTCTGGCACCAGCTCTGGCATAGAGAGGGCCTCTGCAGGGAAGTGAGGCGCAGAGGGGTGAATGGACACCTTTTGGCACACTCATGTAGCAGAGTAGTTGATTTGTGCCCATAAAGATCCGTGAGCACTGATCGTTGGAATCTTAAAATACACCCAGGATCTGAGTTATGCTAAAAGGCAAAGCAAAACTCTCCAGTCTATTCATTTATTCCAAATTTTAATTCAAGTTGCCTTTGTAGGCTGGTCACACCAAGCATCTTTCATGGCATACACTGAATATATAGTATATAGCTAGATTGGAAGAGGAAGAAGAGCGAGGTTTTAAAACTGGAGGAAGAAATGTCCATAACCTGCCCTATGCTGACATTAACAGGACCTTGAAGTTCTGGTACTAAAAATCAAAGAGCTAAAGGCAAAAAAAAATGGGACTAAAGCAGTGGTTCTCAACCTGTGGGTCGGGACCCCATTTGGGGTCGAACGACCATTTCACGGGGGTCGCCAAACAACGCAGTCCCCCATTTTTTTCCCCTTTTCCTTAGCTGTGCTACTCCCTTTTATTCTATTGGCTTTTGAAAGCCAATAGAATAGATTCTTTTGAATAGAGTCTAATTCTATTGGCTTTCAAAAGCCAATAGGAATTGTCCAGGCTGTTTCTGCCCTGCTGAGTCCGCCAAAAGTCCCATTCTGCAAACTGTGCTGCACCAGTTGAGTAGTCCTAGACTTACGACCAGTTGAGTAGTCCTCGACTTACAACCGGTTGGGGGCCGCGGCATTAAAAAGGTTGAGAACCACTGGACTAAAGTCAAGTATAAAGAAAGCCAAACGAATGGCAGCAGATAGAAGAACCAGAAGGGGCAGTGAAGATATCCAAGTGGTGAAGAACTTTTAGGATCAATTACAGAACCACAGCAGCAGTCGATCCGTTGGGTGATCCCTTCAGGTGACCCCCACACAGGGGTAAAGCTCTGCAACTGGCCTGGGGGACGAGGGAAGCCAGGAGGCCACTGTCCTCCACAGGCTGCTTGGGGGGGGGGCTTCAGGCACGCTGTGCTGCTCCGGAAGCTGTCTGAGAAGTGGTCAGCCCTCCAGTACAAGGAAGAGGGCAAAGTGGGTGGGAGGGAGCAAGGGCTGCATTGGGGAGGGACCCAAGAGAACAGAGCTCAATGAGGGCTAGAATTGCGAACAACCTCTTCCTCCCCCCCCCCCCGCCGCCTTTGGCTGGCCAGGACCAGCCGTTCTTCCTCACCCACCGGCAAAGATGACCAGCCCGAAGCACCAGTCGGTGTTGCGGATGATGCAGCCCCTCAGCAGCAGCTGCTCGTTGTCCAGGGCGAACTTCTCCTTCTTGAAGAAAAGGGTCCCAGTGAACCTGCCCAGCCGGTTGTTGGGGGCTTCACAGCGGATTTCCCCTGCAGAAGAAAGGACGATGATTCTCAGCCCTTCCTCCCCTTCCCCCCCCCTGCTTCCAAAGATCACCCTGGCCAACCCCCCCCCCCATATGCCCTCAGCCTCTTCCCCCCCACAGGCAGGGTCCTCCCTTCCCCTCAGCTGCCTTGACCGTTTTTCTGGCAGGCTGCCCCAGAGTGCAGCTGAGGCCAAAAAGAGAGCTTGCATTCCGGAGGGGCGATGCACAACTGGGGTCCTCCTCTGGCTGAGACCCCTCTCCTCTTGACCCAGCCCCCCAACCACATGGGGCTGGTGGACCCCATGGGTGAGGGCCCTGCCAGCATACCCACCCTGGGAGGTGCTGCCGTGCCGGAGTGCCACACCAGGACCCCTCGGCCCTCAGAGGAGTGAAGAGAAACAGGAAGAGAAGGAAAGAGTGCAAAGATCTGTGAAAAGAAGGGGGGAGTTGGGGTGGGGGGGGTGGAGGCAAAGAGACAGTTGGGAAGAGCCCAGAGCTGGAGGGGGGGGGGTTTCGTCAGACTGGAGGCCACACTGTGCAGGGGTGGGTAGTAGTGGACACATATATTAGTGCAAGGGAGGGTGTGCAAGGCGTCTGCAGCCTTTGCTCTCAGGCATGCCTATCATTAGTATTATTACTCCAGGGTGACTTAGAGTTAGAAAGCAGAAAGCAGTGAAGACAAGGTCCTATGCATTCAGACAACCGCACCCCATAACACGTAAGCCACAACTGGCAGGCCTCCACAACCACCCTACCAAGGCTGGGAGAACATCCTCAGGGTGGGAGCAATGCAAGTTGAGGAATTGGGAACCACAACTCCTGATGTGGTGCTCTCTAGCTTTGCACCCCACAAAATGCTCACTTGGCTGTGCTTTCTGAATTGGCATCTCTCTGGCCAGGCAAGGAGAGAACCTCTAATGCAGGCAGCACCCCAATCACAGCCCTACCAGGTGGCTCAGGGTCCTCCCCCAGGCCCCCAAAGGGCCCTGTCCTGACTCCCCACTTTCCAGGGTCCCACTCCCACTCAACTCTGCTGTCCTCATGGACCATCTGCTCGAGAGGAAGGAAAAAAACTGCCAGGGAAAAGTGGGTGGGGTAACACCAGAGTCCAAGGGGGCTTCAGATCAAAGAGCTGCCCCAGAGCTGCCCCCAACCTCTCTCTCTGGGGCTCCAAGGGCAGGGTCAAAGGGCCTCCAGAGCCCGGTGGCAGAAGTCCAGTGCTGCCCAGCTGGCCAGGCATCCCTCCCCTACGTACCATTAAAGCTGCTCAGGGCCTGCAGGTCCCCCCCTAGCGCCGCGGTGACGGTCAGCGCCTGCTTCACTTTCAGGTTGGTTTCCCTGCAACAAGAGAGTGGCGGGAGGATGCACCACCCAGAGATCACACAGGCGGGAGGCTCCAGACCAAGGGCATCATGGGAAGATTCTCAGGAGGCAGGACGGAGGGTCAGGCTGCCCAACGCGAGGGAGCGGGCTCAGACGCTTACCCGTCCAGTTCCGTCGTCTCAATGTAGGTCAGGCTGTGGGGCTCACTGCTGCAGAGCAAGAGGACATCCGCCTGCAAAGGGGAAGAGTCAGTGAGAACGGCAGGCAGGGGATGTCGGCTGCCCCCTCTCTCCACAAATCATGGCCGAGGTCTCTCTTTCAAGGGAAAGGACCCTCATCCTGGCAACCGGAGGTCAAATTAGGCTCATGGTTGCTGACCTCAGTCCCATTAGATTCCCCCCCCACCATCTGACCAACGGCACCAAGTGCAGGAGTTTTGTTATTCTGCAACATGGGCAATGGCGGATCAGTGCCAATGGATTGCCCAGGCACTGGCTGCTTGTCCTCCCAGTGGCCCTTTTGGGGACTATGGATGTGCCGCAAGGCCTTTGAGGGACCCTCTGGCCATGCACAAAGGTTGCAGGTGGGAGATACAGAGAGGACCCCCGATCCAAGAACACCCTTATGCTGCACCATCGGTGTCCCAAGAGCTGCTGATGCAGGGTGGCGAGACAGACCAAGCCTGGCTGCCTCTGACTCGGCTCAAGGGCCTCTCTGACATCGAGTTAATTTCCAAAGCTCCTGGTCCAGGCTGGGTTTCCTTCAAAGACTGCCCAAGAGAGCAACTTCCATGATGGCATTTATTTGGTCAATGCCAACTGGACTGGCCCAGGGCAACAGAGCTGGTCCCTAAGGAGCCTCCTGGGATACCCATGGCATGAGGGAGTTGGGGGAGGAGCTGCCATCGCTTACTGTCACAAAATTATTGTTCTCCAGCTTGATGATGTCTCCCACTTCAACGTTGAGCCACAAGTCTTCCTTCAAACTAGAAGAAAATCCCAGTTACAAAAGCACCAGAGGAAAGGGCATCCCTTAGCAAGCCTCCTTCCTCTTTGGGGGAGTTTTGGGGAGCAGCTGTGGGTCAGCTTTGGCGAGAAGCCTGGTTGGCATCAGATGCTTCCTGGGGTTTTCAGTTTGGGAGGATTTCATGATTCTGATTTCAGGAAAACTGAGATGTATTTTGAAACGTTTTAGGCAAGTGGTCACAGTAGGTGCTGGGATATATATATTGATTTGTTTGCACCGATGATGTTGGCAGGAGCCAACGAAAGCTAGGTCTGCTTTTTAAAAAACTTTTAAATGTTTTATATTCAAAGCTTTTAACGTTTTCTAAAACTTTTAATGTTTTAACTCTTCCTGGTGCTCAACAATGATGAAAACTATCTCGAATGCATTTGGGTCAATATAAAAGGGGGGGGGGAATGACATTGCCATAGGTGTATACTATAGGCCACCCAACCAAACAGAGGAAATAGATGAACTTTTTGCTAGTCAGCTAACTAAGGTATGTAGAAAGCACATCACAATAGTAATGGGGGACATTAATTACCCTGGCATCAACTGGGAGTCAAACTCGGCACCAAGTGGAAGATCAAACAGATTCCTGACAAACCTAGCAGACAATTTTGTCTCCCCAAAAAGTAGAGAAGGGATCAGTCAGATTGGACCTAATTCTCACTAACAGAGATGAAATGATAGAAGGTGTTGAAGCCACAGGAACCTTGGGAGGGGGAGTGATCATGCAATATTTGAATTCAACATTATGCAAGCACAAGCAATAAAACATAGTCAAACTAGAGTCTTGGACTTTAAGAGAGCTAATTTCAATAAACTTAGAGAGAGCTTGGGAAGGATTCCATGGATGAGAATCCTCAAGGGGAAAACAACTCAAGAAGCTTGGAAAATTTTGAAAAGTGAGATAATAAAAGCCCAGTCTAGCATAATACCAACAAAGAAGAAAAATAACAGCTCTCAAAAGAAACCAGCATGGCTGCATAAAGAACTCTCTGATAAACTGAAAGACAAAAAGGACAAATATAAAAAATGGAAAGAAGGGCACATAACTAAGGCAGAATATCAGCAAATAGCCTGAGTCTGCAAAGATGAAGAAAGCTAAGACTCAAAATGAACTAAGGCTTGTGACAAAAGTCAACAATAACAAAAAAAGGCTTCTTTCAACAAGTAAAAAACAAGAAAACAGTTAAGGAAATGATTGGTCCATTAGTGGGAGAAAGTGGCAAGAAAGTGACAAGCAACAGGGAGAAAGCAGAACTATTTAACTCATTTTTTGCATCCGTCTTTACACAAAGGGAAAAAACAGTCCAACCTATCAAAAACAGTACTGTAAAAAACAGATTAGAAACACAAGTTAAGATAGGCAAGAAAATGGTAAGTGAGCACCTGTCAACCCTAGAGTTCAAATCACCAGGACCAGATGGATTACACCCCAAGGTTCTGAAGGAACTGGCAGATGTGATCTCAGAACCACTGAACTATATCTTTCAAAGATCCTGGAGCACTGGGGAATTACCAGAGGACTGAAAAAGGGCTGATGTAGTTCCCATCTTCAAAAAAGGAAAAAAAATGGATCCAGGAAACTACAGACCTATCAACCTGATCTCAATACCTGGAAGATTTTGGAAAACATAATCAAACAACGAATCAGTGAACACCTAGAGGTAAACAAAGTCATTACCAAAAGCCAACATGGGTTTGTCAAAAACAGATCATGCCAGACAAATATTATTGCATTCTTTGACCAAATGAAAAAATTAGAGGACCAGAGGAATGCTGTGGATATAATTTGCTTGGACTTCAGTAAGGGATTTGATAAAGTAGTGTTGACCCAGAATTAGGAGCTAGCATAGGAAGTATCAATTGTGAATATGTGCAGATGGCCCTGATGTCTTTGGGCATTTGCAGAGTCATGGATGCAGGGTCATGAAAAGACAGCAAGGAAAACACCCAATGTCCTAACTCACCCAGGAATGTACAATGTCTTTAGGGAAATACCCCAAAGGGAACAATTTTAGCTACTTCTGCTTTCTCCCTTCTTATCTACAGTGTGCCAGACTTACAGATGAAATCTTTATCTTATGTGTGTCAGCTTTGCTGGGTGGATTGCTTACGTAATCAGATAGAATAATAAAAGGATTTCTTGTCATTTGGGGCTTCTCTTTTTTAGAGGAGCCTGTCTTTGTTCAGCTGAATAAAAACGTAAAGCTTAAAGGCAACTTCTGGTTTCCTGTATATTTTATCGAGCAAAACCTCAGAACTTGCACAGCAGTAGATCACAACCTACTACTTGATAAGATAGAAAAATGTGGGTTAGACAGCATCACCACCAGATGGATTCATAGCTGGTTGATTGGCCATACTCAGCGAGTGGTCCTCAATGGAACTGCATCTATATGGAGGGAAGTGTGTAGTGGGGTGCCCCAGGGCTCTATTCTGGGCCCAGTGCTCTTCAACATCTTCATCAATGATTTGGATGAGGGGATAAATGGGGAACTCATCAGATTTGCAGATGACACCAAGCTGGCAGGAATAGCCAACATTCCAGAAGATAGACTTAAGATACAGAAGGAACACAGTTGGGACTTTTGAAAGTTTGGTGCAAAGGAGGCTCAGGAAAGGCGAGACCAAGAAATACAAAGCCGTGTATATATGTAATCTGGAAAGGGAAAAGGGTCTGGCCCTCTTTTGCAACTCAGAGGCCTTCCCTTGCCTGACATGCAGGAGACTCAGGCCAACTGAAGGGGGCTCTTCTGCCCACAGCAGAGTCCAGCTATGGAAGTGAACTGAGCAGGAATTCCTGATTTCCCATTGGTTGAAATCTAGGGGTGGGCTGTAAATTGGAAGCAGCATTGGAAGGGGTCCTTGCCCTCAGAACCAGGTGTGTGTGAGCTTCCCGGTTGCACCCAGCTGGCCACCAGGTGAGGCAGGAGCCTCCTGAGCCAAGAGCCTTACCCAGCCTCACACTTTTTCTGATTAACGGATTCTCTGTCAGTGACATGAATGCAAAGTGAGATTTCTCCCCAGGAGCCCTTTGGCTTCAGAGAAGGAAAAGCCCCCACCTCTGATGCAGGGACACTTATTTAAGTGCATTCTGTTTATCTGTGGCTTTGATCCCACATGGGCTCCACCTTTCAGCCACCTGAAGAAGCTTAACCGAGGGGAGGTGTGGTGTTCAGAGATGCGGCTTCAGCCTCTGAGTGGGTGGACAAACACACTGGCGAAAGGACGCTTGGTCCAGCTGAGGGCCTTGATCCTCGACACAACTTTCCTCTGGCTGTGGAAAGTTCCCTAGCCCCCCCCCCCCAAGGGTCCTCAAACCTCACCAGGGAAACCCTCCAACCTCATTATGGAGCTTCTGGGCCTTGCCAGCTGTTCATTGGACGACCAGGGGTAGGCAACCTTGGCTCTTTTATGACTCGTGGACTTCAACTCCCAGAATTCCTGAGCCAGCCATGCTGAGGGGAAAGGGAGAGGTTTCCAAGCTGAGCCATGCTGGCTCAGGAATTCTGGAAGTTGAAGTCCACGAGTCATAAAAGAGCCAAGGTTGCCAACCCCTGACCTATAGGATGCTCACCTGCCATTAATCAGAACCTTAACTGGCCGGTTGTTGACTTGCTTGTCATTTGCGTGGCGGTTCTGAAAAAGAAAAGAAAACTAGAATCAGCCAAGCCATAGAGAGGGCGCCCTAGAGTGGCTGCAACCCAAAGCAGCAGAAGAAGCCAACCTGGCATCTGCTTAACCTTCTTTGGGGAGGGCGGGATTTCGGGAGCCCTGAAAGCAGGGAGTGGGGGTGCTGTGGGCAGATTTCACTGGCAGGACGGCTGATGCCAGGAAGGGGTGCCCTCCCTGGAACAGTTACTGCCCTTCCTCTCAAATCTTTACTGCTCGCCTAGCCTGGACTTGGGTGGATGCCAAGAGCAGCTGCTCTAAAGCAGTGGTTCTCAACCTGTGGGTCGGGATCCCATTTGGGGTCGAACAATCATTTCACGGGGGTCGCCAAACAACGCAGTCCGCCATTTTCCCCCCCTTTTCCTTAGCTGTGCTACTCCCTTTTATTCTATTGGCTTTTGAAAGCCAATAGAATAGACTCTCTTGAATAGAGTCTAATTCTATTGGCTTTCAAAAGCCAATAGGAATTGTCCAGCTGTCTCTGCCCTGCTGAGCCCGCCAAAAGTCCCATTCTGCAAACGGTGCTGCACCAGTTGAATAGTCCTCGACTTACGACTGGTTGAGTAGTTCTCGACTTACGACCAGTTGGGGGGTCGCGGCATTAAAAAGGTTGAGAACCACTGCTCTAAAGGCTCTTTCATATGCCCCCTTGCCTCTCCCCCCCCCGCCCCCAGAGACAGAGGAAGTCTTGTCTGTTGCTGGCGCCTCCTTCTGGAAACAAAGGCAGGAGATCGGTCCCAGCTGCTTTGGGATGATTTCAATGTGGATTTGGGCCCAGCTGAGGGTTAATGCAGTCAGTTGGGCACGGGGAAAGCCCTGATGGGTATCGCTACCAGGCTCTTACAACATCATCCATGGCATCCTTGACTGCGGACACGGTCAGGACCAAGACCAGGGGCACCACGGTAGTGAACCAGGAGAGGGAGGAGATCTCAGGGATGAGCTGCAAAGAGAGAGAAAAATCAGGATGCCCACAAAGCTTGCAGGGATTTTTCCACCTGGATTTGGCAGGCAGAGAAGGGCCGACTTCGAAGACCCACAGCAAGAAGAGACCAAGCCTGGAAACTGGCCTTTCCCCCACGGCTTTCAATGGACACCTCTATTCCGCTTTCCCTGTGTCTGGAGAGCATGAAGGAGGCCGGCTGAGGAGAAGGCCGCAGCAGAGTCCACTGAGGAGAAGTGGATTGCAAGAGAGTCGCCAATGGTCCCTTGGACAGGGTACGGGGTTGCTCTCTGCTGCCAAAGCAGAACCGCCATAGAGGCCCCAGAAGGGGACAAGGCGGCCAGTTCTCGTGTGTGAACAAACGGAGGGGAGCCAACTGGAGGTTAGCCACACAACCGCTCAAGGGGAAGTTGTGTACAACATATGTGACTAATCAAAAGAGGAGGAGGCATAAAAGTTGTTCTGTGAATGGTGCCCGGAGAAACAAAAGTAAAAAAGAATGGAGCAGAAGGGGGGGACCGGCAGATGTTGTGGCACGCTTGACAATTTGTGGGAAAACCGCCAAGCCCTTCTCCCCAGCTTGTTCTGAGAAAACTGAAGAAGGTTGGAGCAGTGCGTCTGAAACTCAGAAGACAGATAAAAGTTCATCCAACTGAGCGAAGCAGCTCCCCACAAACAGAAATTAAAAATCTTTGACTTATGACAGCAATCGGGTCTGGAATTTCCATTGCTAAGTGATGCGGTCGTAAAGTGACCAACCGTCCTCCTTTAGGGAGGATAGTCTTCCTTTTGTTAAGTTCTGTCCTCCCTCAAAAAGTGTCCTCTTTCATGTCCTCCGTTTCGATATTTGAAGTCTAATCTGCAGGGCTTTTTTTCCCCTCATAGAACGCTCAGAATGGCGTTCTGGCACCTTTTTTTTGATGGGTTTTTTTTTCAACTTTTGCATGAGCTGTGCTACTCCCCCTATTGGCTTTCGAAAGCCAATAGGAATTGCTGCTGAGCGCGCCGAAACACCTGGCTGGCAAACTTTGCACATGCAAGTTGTCTGTATTATTGTTGCAATGAATAACATGTTTCTTTTATTCACGATATTTTTTTCTTCAATTTATTTGTGTCCTCCTTTTCATTGTAAAAAAGCTGGTCACCTTAGCGGTCGTTAAGCGCAATAGCATCACTTAGTGATGGCAATCCCTACAGTCACAATTGTTGTTGTTAACTGAATCCCACGATCATTGGCTGAAGCAACTTCCTGTCCATTTCTCACAAGGAAGTAGGGGAGTAGGCAGGAAGTTGCAGGTCCCAGGCTTGCAGGCAGAGAAATACACGGCTGCTGCTGCTGGGTGGGGGGGAGTGAGTGAGTGAGTGAAGGGGTGGGGGAGCAGGGGAGAGGGGAGACTCAGGGAGGGTACCCAAAAAGCACAGCATGGGTAAAATGCAAGAGACGACGTGTAAAAAGAGTTCACAAGAGGTGACGCGCAGGCTGGAGAGATTGTGCAAGGTGGTTCAGTGGTCAGGGAATCTGTGGGTTGCAGGGAGAATTGGGGAAGGTGTGTGGGGTGGCACAAGTGGCCAGTGCAGTGTGAGTGTGAGTGATAAGGGGGAGATCTACACCAACAACCTGCCACCTTCCCCATTGCAAACTGGCAACTAGTGGTAGGTGTGAATGGGTTGCCAAGCACCCAGATCAAGATTAGAAGATGTGGTGGGTTCTGGGACAGCCAGAACTGTGAGGACCGGTTGTAACCATCATTCGTTCAGCGCCATCTTAACCTGGAATAGTCACTGACCGAATGGTGGTAGGTCAGGGGTTCTCAACCTTGGCAACTTTAAGACTTGTGGACTTCAACTCCCAGAATTCCTCAGCCAGCTTTGCTGGCTGAGGAATTCTGGGAGTTGAAGTCCACAAGTCTTAAAGTTACCAAGGTTGAGAACCCCTGTGGTAGGTCAAGGACTAGGAGTGGTTATTATTCACCTATGTCCTTCTTACAAGTGGCCGGGTCCTGTCCTCAGGGGAAGCCCAACTCTTGGAAATGGAGCAGGAAGAGCAGTTCCCTTGAGGACCCCCGATGGGTGGCAGAGTCTACAAGTGGAGGGAGGCAGCCTCTGCTGCGGGGGCTGGACATTGCTGCTGGGCAGGAAAGGGCAGAGAGCCAAAGAGGGAAACGGCTTCTCCCACTGGGCAAGTGAGATGGAGGACTGCCAAGAGCCACTCGGTCAACCTTTGTTCTGCAGAAGGGAAGGAGCCAGCGCATCCATGGATGTTCTCAGGGTCCTCCCCAGACAGTGCCCCCTCTTTCAGGTGCCCACCCCCTTATCCCTCCCCACAGCCCTGCCAGAAGGGAGCCCGAAGGGAAGACTTGCCTGCAGAATGAGCAAGATGAGGAAGTAGGCATTGGCGATGCGCTGGAATTGCTCGAAGAGGTTGAGAGGCAGGAAGGTGAAGAGGTTGTACTTGGAGGTTTTAATGGAGTTTTTCTGTGGACGGAAGACAGCCTGTGAGAAGGGCAGGAGAGGTGTAGCACGACTCACCCCTCCCCCGATGAAATGCTGGAGGGCTGAGTGGGCAAGGAACCCCTCACGAAGGGTCTGGGTGGCAAAGAGGAGAGAAAGGGCATTGCCACCCCCAGGGTCCTGTTCCAACAGGCCCTCAGCTCCCCTGTCTCTGCCACGGGGAGGGGAAGGAATGGGTGTCGGCGGGGGGGGGGGGCTGGTTACTTACAGCATAATCAAACTGCAGGTTGAAGGCCCGGTCGTTTGCCCGCAGGCACCGCTCCTCCTCTGCAAGGCAAGCGTGGGAGTTAAGTACCAGGACGGGGAGGGTGAGGCAGCAGGTGGCAAGACTGGCATGGGGCCCCCGGTGCCCTCCCACCTCTTGGCTGGGGTGGGGGGGCATTGCGGTGCAACATTCAGGAGAAGGAAGGCAGCCCAGGAGGGTGGGTAGACAGCCAGCCCCTCCCTCCGCCCCCAGCCAGCAGGCCTGGCTAATTTTCAGTGAACTTATTTGTCCCCCTTCTGCTGCCTCCAGAAATCTGGAAGCCACAATGATGCCCTTCGGGGCCCAAATCTTGTGGCTTTCCTTCTGATCCACACACACACACACACACACACACACACACACACACACACACAGAGTCTGCCTCTGTGCAGCATTCAGGTGGCTTCTACTTCCCTGAAGCTCAGGCCCACACAGGAATTCCCACAGAGGGAGGAGCTCCTTGCAGGGAGATGAGCAGCAAATAAATTCAACAAACAAAACAAAATAAATTTAATAAGCAAACAAACAAAACTGTCCCGCCAGTAGTGAGGGGGGGGCAGCCTGATGACTTCCCCGGGAAGCAGCGCAAGAGACATGGGAAAGCCAGGGAGCAGATGTGAGGGGGCATTGTGGCAGGGAGGGGTCCCATCTTGGGAGGAAGGTGTTATGCCCCCTGATCAAGCAGTGCTGGGCAGGACTTTTTGGGGGGGGGCAGCTCTGTATCGGGTATACTTTTTCCAAGAGGCAACTGAGGTCAAGGGAGTCTTGGGGTGTCATTTTGCTGCAGGGCCTGGAACAAGGCAAGCCCCTTCATGTATACATCCCCTCCCCAGCAGAGGGACCCTCCCAAGCCCATCGCACAAGCCTCCCTGCAGAATCATTGCAGATCCTCTCAGATCAGCCACTGCAGAGCACACCCACCCACACACCCACACCCAGGATGGCAGCGGATTCTGCAGTAACTGATCTCTGGCTAACTATCTGTCAGGACCAGCCTTATGGTTTCTGGACAAAATCTCCCCAGTTGCTTTTGGAAACCCACCCACCCCCGCACCCCCACAGCTGGAGTACCAGCCTTGAAAACCAGGGGAAGATGGGGGGGAAGCCATGGCATTGCCAAAGAGACTGACAGAAGGAGGGAGTCAGGCTCTTCCTCAAGGGGGCTTCACTTGAAGCCCCCCCCCATCTTTCTTAAACTAGCTCACCGCCTAACAAAAATGAACAAATATTCCGCTGCATTTTGTGCTGTGCTGGGAGACAAGAGACAGATCTGATAATGATGCATTGATTGGCAGAAGCTTGGTGGACTCTCCATATGCAATAGATGCTCCCTGGGAGCCTGATTGGGGCTGGGGGGGGGAGGTCACCCTGGGCTTGACTGGCTTGCTTGGTTATTGGGGGAGAATTTGTAAAAGTAATCAAGCCAGCAAAGAGAGTAAAAATGTAGAAAGGAAACCACACATGTACATGCACAAAGTTTCCAGCTGCTTCGCCTACGGAAAAACATCAATCAGACAACGCAATTCAAAAAGTTTCAAAAACTAGCCACAAAACTTTGCAGGATGTTTCTGGGGCTGAATGTTAATTAAGCAAGACTTTAGTGATGCCAGAAACACTCCACTGTCAGCTGAGGCGTCCTCTCGGAAATGCAGAGATTCTGACAGGAGACTGAAAATAGAAAGCAGCTCAGCTCCCTTTGCCCAAATCATGAAGCTGCAAGCGCCAGAAGGACAGTGGCTGCCCTGGAAATTTGCCCCAAGGGTTGACAGCGATGCACAGGGACCTGCAGAGTCCTGCGAGAGGGAGGGGGCACCCAGGCGGCTGAGGACCCTCCATCTCGCAGTCCCAGATGGAGGAGGCCCTGCCTGGAGTTGCCCCAAATTCTCCGGGAAACAAAGAAGCCGCCGTCCCTTCTCTGGCTTCTGCCTGGCCTGGAGGAGCTGGGCAAAATGGCACCCGGTAGGGCTGTTCAGCAAAACAACTTGGGGGCTTTGTCAGGCATAGGGCCAGGTTCCAGCCGAGGGGGTGAGTGGGACGGGCTGGAGGACACGATCCTTCCAAATGATCTGGCAGAGAAGCGCAGTAAACCTAGAGAGGAATGCTCACGTCCAGCCATTGGGAAGGCGGCCATCCAGCTTTTAGCCAAAAGAAAGAACACGCCGTTCTGTTCCATCCCACCCTGATGGTTTAGTTCTCTGCTGGAAGAACATCTGGACAGAAAGAATAGAATCCTAGGGATGGAAGGGACCTTGGAGGTCTTCTAGTAGTCCAGCCCCCTGCCCAAGCAGGAGACTTTATATCAGGGGTGTCAAACTCAATTTCATTGAGGGCTGCATCAGCACTGCGGTTGTCCTCGGGGTGTGTGTGGCCTACTGGGTGGGTGTGGCCTACTGGGTGGGCGTGGATGGAGTGGGTGTGGCTTACTGGATGGGTGTGGCCAGCTCCACATCGTTCACGTCAGGGGTGCCTGTGGGGGCCTGGGCAGGAGTGGGACAAATCTGAGGGTCTCTGGCAGAAGGGGGTGGGACCAAGGCAAACACCAAGGCATGGTGCATTTCTTCATTCCTCATAAAGGGTGACACCTTCCCAGCATGCACCCAGGGGGCGGGGTGGACGTGGCAGGGGCTGGTTCCTCGCTGTTTCCAGACGGCCTTGTGGAGCTAAGACTGAATGCGTTTCAGCATAGATGGCCACCACAAAATTGTACATTGGCTCCCGGCCGACCTGGGCCAGGGCCAAGGCAGCGGGGGCCGTTCCCTCACTGTTTCCAGGATGGCTTCGCGGACCACATGAAACCACTTCACGGGCTGGATCCCGCCCCCGGGCCTTGTGTTTGACATGTCTGCTTTATACCATCCCAGATAAATGTCTGTCCAGTCTCTTCTTGAAAACCTCCAGTGATGGAGCACCCACAACTTCCATTCCACCGATTAATTTTTTTAACTGCCAGGAAATTTTTGCTTAATTCTAGCTTGGATCTCTCCTTGATTAGTTTCCATCCATCGCTTCTTGTTTTGCATTCAGGTGCTTTGGAGAATAGGTTGACCCCCCCTCTTCTCCGTGAAGCCCCTCATTGCACTGAAAAGACAGCTATCGTATCACCCCTGATTGTTCAGAAGAGAAAGTTGCTTCTGGAAACATGGCTGGGAGGGAGGCAGAGGTCTGTTATGGTTGAAACACAGGGTGAGTCTTCATCCAACATCAACTTCCAACTATGATGAGCACAAGGTGGGGAAGGGACACTGCAGAGGCCAGTCCAGTTGGGATTTCAGTCCCCAAGAATAAGTACTCAGCCTCCCTCCCTCCCATGTCCCAGGGCTTCCTTTGAAGTTATCTCTGGGTTGAGGCAGCATTTGCTTCCATAAGTGCCCCTGCCTCACTTTTAAATGTAGCAGTAGCAGCTGGGAGGGCAGACCCTGATCTATCCTGGTCCCAGTGTGAACAGGAAGAGCTGCTCACTGGGCAGACTCCGGCTTAGGAAGGAGGCCTCTTGGGCCAAGGGATTTATTAATGCTGCTGACTCTAAAGCAGCAGTTAATTCTCCGAAGGAAGGAAGAAAGGAATTATTATGCTGCTGCTTGTAAGAGTCCCCAAAATAGCACAGATGCCTGTGGGAGAGTTCAGCTTCTAAATAAGAAGTCCAGCTATGATTCCATTTAAGGTGCTGATAACTCTGTTGCTGCTGGCTTCCAGGTCAGGGGTCTCCAACCTTGGCCGCTGTACAACTTGTGGACTTCCACTCCCACAATTCCTCAGCCAGCCACGAAGTCCACAAGTTGTAAAGTTGCCAGGGTTGGAGACTCCTGTTCCAGGTGGCTTGCAATAATAATAAAAAAAATTACAACAGTGAGGCAGCCCGCCCCCCCCACTTTCAGCAGGGGTTCACACAACATATTGCTGGGAGAAAAAAAAAGGGTTCCAGCCATTTTTATTACCACAATGCAAACTCAACCCACGCAGAACAATGTCCAGGAACGGATCCCGCTGACCTCCAGGGGATCAAGGCCGCTCTCCAGGGAGTGGTCAATCATTATTCAGGTTTTGCAAGGGCATCACCATCCTGGTGATGTAAGTCTCAACTAGATCATGCAACAATATGGGAAAACACAGTGTTGGCACACACTCAGAGGCACATCATCTGTTCCCATGCTGGTCTAGGGGCCCTCCTGAGTCCAGTTTCAGCAGCCCTTGTGGCCTCTCCACCAGCACCCAGGCCCCAGAAGCAGAACTGGGTCTCTTTAGCTTCCAATAAGTGATGGCCTTCAGCTCTTCCAGACCAGTTCTGGCCTGCCACAGCAGCCTGGTCCGCTTGCAGATTCCCCAGCAAGCAAGAGCAGGCTGGCAGTTCCCCCATAGCCCACCCCACACATATCCACCTCTCCCCAAGATCAGACAAGCCTTTTGGCACAGGGCAGAAATTAGGGTGGTCCCAGGTTCTCATGTCCAGGGGAAGACAGCAAAGCTGCCTTTTGTTGCTTGTGTCTCTGGTGTCATAAATACACACAGACATACACACACACCGTGGTGGTGTCCAAAGATGGGAGAGGACACATTCAGAGGAGCAGAGGAATCAGTCCTCTGTGCAGCTTCATCACCTGCCTGCCCGTTAGGAAAAGCAGGACAGAATCCCACCCAAGGGATTTTGGCGTTTCAACTCCAGCACTGGAGAGGGTGAAATCGGGAAAAATCCCAGGATTTCTCTTCTGTTTTGCCTCCACCGCCCTTTTGGTGACTGGTCCCACACAGACCTCCCAGGCAAGCAGCTGAATAGGCCTTCCCACACACACACCGCCGCCCCCAGCACTACAGATGGCACAGCTTGTATAAATAGAAGGGAGGACACAGGTGCCCATTGACTTCCCCCTCTCCTGAAGTGCTCCACAGGAAATACTAGGCCTGCGGGTCATCGGTGGTGGGGGTCCCTCACTCACAAAGAGGGGGAACCTATGGGTAGCTTCCAGTCCTGCTTGTGAAGGCGTGAGAGGAGAACTGAAAGTGATTCACAGCCTCACTCACACAACTC